TAACGAATGTACAAATGTGCTTTATGCAATTGATGTATGTATGGATTGTGATAAGAGTTGTATGAACCCCTAGTAAGATGATTAAAAATTAAAAAAAGAAAAGAAAGACCCATTGTGGTTTACAGCAGGCTCGGGCTCCTGATCAGCAACTCGATTCTGCCTAGAATAACCATTAGGGTTTCATTTTCCTTCAATGCAGCGGATGCATTCACTGCACCCTCAGTAACAAGTGATGCTTTCTGAGTTCTACTTGGGTGCTTTGTGGCTGGTCCTATTATAAGACAATGGTAAAGTAAATTTAGTATAATTGAGCACCAAAAATAATAAATATGAAGACTGGATGTAGGAAATGCATTGTTGAGTGAAAAAAGAACACAAAATTGAGTAGTCATCATGATTGTACGTCTATAGAGACAATCTATGGCTACAGATTAGACGAGATCATAGAGAAAAATGACAGGCAAGGAATTTGGATATGAAGGAGTTACAGTATTTTATGGTTATATTTTAAATAAAAGGCTATTTATTGTTCATTGGAATGCTGAGGATAAATGCATGGTGTACAAAACAGATACAGAGTCTGCCTTCTTGGGTCTCCTGATCAAGTAAGAGGCATTTCAATCAAATAAATAGTGGAAATGTATGCTTTTGACTTTTGCTGTGATAAAGAGGTCATATGTGAACTTACAGTAGGGCTAGAAGGTGTCTCTGACCTGCGATTAAGACATTAACTGAGTCAAAAAGGAGCCAAGGCTGTTGTAGACCTGCTCTCCATAAAGTGGCCACCAGTCTCTTATAGCTTTTGAATACTCGAATAATTGCTCGTCCAAATTGAGCTGTATTATAATTGTGAAAATACACTGGGTTTTTAAGACATACTATAAAAAAGGCTGTAAAATATCTCAGTATTAACCCTTTTATGTTGATTATATGTTGGACTGTATATAGGACTCTGGTTTTTTGGGTTAAATAAAAGATGGAAGTTCATTTTATTTATTTATTTTACTTTTAATGCAACTACTAGAAAAATTTAAATATACAAGGGGCGTAAAAAAATGAGTAGAAAGTGCAATTAAATGGTAATGGAATTTCCCACAAACTGTTTGATGCCATCCCTTTGTAGGCGGCTCTTGTTTGTGGTTTGTATAATTTGTCTTAGACAGCACTGAGTAGGAGTCATGAAAATCAGACCACGTGGGCAAGCAGAAATAGCCCTGGTCTCAATGATGCTGGGAAGGATAGCCCAGTACAGGGTCTTATAATCCTGTGTCATGTTAAGGGGTTGATCTTTGTCCTGTGAGCTCTATGAAGCCCTTGAGGCCATGTTAGTAGGCTCTGGCATCTCAAGATCAGACTGTGAGGGTGAGTCAAAAGCATTGCTACAAGAGTATCGAAACCTTTATGAAAGTCAACTTTGATGCCGCTTCTTGACATTTCCTCCATCTGGGCCTACACACTTGAAGTTGCTAATTCCTTCTCCTTAACTGGTCCCCAGAGAAGTCTGTGCTCTTTGATTTCCACAAATTCAAAATGGCAGTTTGGGCATCCTTGAGGGTCTCGAAGCATGTCCCTTTTCAATGTTCTTTGAGTTTTGGGAACTAGAAGACATCTGAAGGGGTGGGGCTGTGCTAAAGGTGGGTAGGGTTTCCTGATAAAATGTTCAAAAGGACAGCCCCTGCTACCATAGAAGAACCATCAGGTGTGTTGTTGTGATGGGAACATTTTTCTTGGCTTATCTTCCTGGCCTTTTCCTCACCAGTGCAGTTTTCCATTTTTATAAAGTGATTTTTGTTTGGTTCTGTTTTCCATAATAAGCCCTGTGATTGTCTGTTGTCATTCTGCCCTGATGACCCCTTCCAAATCCCCAAATCGCAGCCTTCTGACCAGGCCTCTCTGCCTTGAGTTTAAATGGCCTAAAAGATCCCTTCTGCAGCCATTGTGTTGACTGGACCTTTTTCCAGAAGACACCGTGATGAGACCAAGACACGTATATCACTAGGAGAATTTGCAGCTGCCCACGGATTGCAGAAATGGTGTTGAAACGCCTTTTGCTTGGAACATGTAAACCCATGCGGGTAGGAACTGGAGCCCCAGAGATATACGTTCTGAGTCAGCCTCCTGTTTCTGGAGGTGCCTCTGGTTGTCTTTAGCATTTGAGCATTTATTATCGGTATTTAGAAACATTGCTTTGAGTTAGTAGGATACATGAAAATAAATCTGAGTCACATGGAAACTCATTTTGAATGTTTTTAATATCTTGTTCATTTCTTGCCTTGATCATAATGATTTTCATTTCGAATTCATTTTAGATTCTTCCTGGAATAATAAGTGTTCATCCTATAGTCAGAAATATGGCTGTTTTATGCTTGGGTTGCTGTGGGTTGCAGAACCGGGATTTCGCAAGTAAACACTTTGTACTGCTGCTGCAGGTAGGTTTGCCCTAGTGGCAATATTTCATTTGTTGTTGCTGAAGTGAACACTGGTGAGAATACTGATGCTCTAAGTTTATCTCTCAGGCTTACTGGATTGGGCCCAGGATGATTTTTATCTTTAATTTCTTTTGTATTAAATTTCTTTGTGGACTAAACCTAAAATGTCAGTCATTTGAAATTATTTTTTTCCCTTAACTATTTTGTTACTATTTTTAAGTTATTTTAACTCACATATTTAAAATAAATTTTTAAGTTGCCATATTTTATTTTTAATCCTATAGCACATATTGAATAGATGTTATGCTCCCAACACTGTTTTAGGTTAAAATATGTGACAGTGATAAACAAGATAAAATTTCTTCTAATGGAGCTTACATTCTAAAAGGGAAACACAACTGAAAATGGACATGTGTGTAGTGTATCAAGTGGAGAAACATAGAGCAGAGAAGGGGACTAAGGAAGGAGTGGGAGCTACTTGGTTGAGAAAGGCCTCACTAATAAAGTGACACCCAGCTTCATAGCAGAGGGGACCAAGTGAGCGTGACCAAGTGGATCCCTGCGGCAAGGGCTTCCCAAGACAGGGAAGAGGCTTCCAGCTGGGCTTTGTTTGCCATGTTCCAGCATCAGTTGGGTGTGTTGACAGCAGATTGAGCAAAAGGGGAGGATAAAAACCGCGTTGGATAGTGTCTGACTTTTAAGGTAAAGGAACACATCATGCAATTCAGTTTTAATTGAGTTTCAGGGATTTTTTTTTCCTTGTCTTACTGAAAGCAAATATTTTCTTAAAGGAAATAGAGTTTTAAATTGTGGTTATGTGTTGGGCTATTAACCACAAGATTAGCAGTTTGAAACCACCAGCTGCTCCACAGGAGAAAGATAAGGTTTCCTACTCCAGTAAAGAGTTCCAATCTTGAAAACCCCAAGGGGCAGTTCTCCTGTGTCCTCTAGGGCCGATATGAGTCAGAATTAGCTCAATGGTAGTGAGTTTGGGTGTCTGGTGTGCTTGTTTTGAGGAAAAGATAACTTTAAAATGAAATTTTCTATTTCTGCAAAGTGCCTTTCCTTGGAGACTTAACATTGGCATTGAAATTAGACTAAGAAAAAATACACAACATGAGATATTTTATGGCAGGTAAGCAAAGTTTTAGCACCACGTTTGCTTATTTGGTGGGCGATGTCTCTCCGTTAGGTTTTGCGAATTGATGACGTCACAGTGAAAATCAGTGCTCTGAAGGCAATCTTTGACCAACTGATGGCGTTTGGGATGGAACCGTTTAAAACTAAAAAGCCCCCAGCTTCTCTAGGTGAAGGCGCAGAAGTGCACAGCGATGATGATGAGCACGTGTCTGAAGAAGCTGAAGTGGAGACAGCGGCCACAAAGAATGTCCTGAAGCTCCTGTCCGACTTCCTAGGTGACGAGGTAGGCGGTGGCCGCTGGGGGCCGAGCGGACCCTCTCAGTACGTGTCTGTCTGCTCTTTACACAGCACTCTGTGTTTTTGGTACTACAGTTGAAACTTGATCAGAGAGTTTATTCATTTTCTTCTTGAATCTCTTAAATCTCACCTTTCCCCTTTAGGATACACACTTGTTTCTCACTATCAGAGTAGGAGATTTTTTTCTCTGACTTGATCTAAGGGTTTAAAGTTCTTCCCCTAAGGGTCTTAAGATGTAATTTAGAATCATGTTACCTTGGGTAGGTAGAAGGTCTAAGACAGGGAATGGGATTAAATCTCTTCCCTCTTTAAGGAAGAGTAGTACTTTAACTTTTTAAAAAAAAAAAATCATTTTATTGGGGGACTTTACAGCTCTTATAACAATCCATACTTCATTTATATCAAGCATATTTGTACATATGCTGCCATCATTATTTTTTAAACATTTACTTTCTATTTGAGCCCTTGGTATCAACTCCTCTTTTTTCCCTCCCACCCTTGTGACCCCTGGATAAATTATGAATTATTATTTTCATCTCTTACACTGACCGCTGTGTCCCTTCGCCCATGTTGCTGTTCGACCCCTCAGGTGGTGGGGGGGTGGTTGTGCATTGATTGTTTCTATCAGTCCCCCCTTCCTCCTCCTTTCTCCTTCCCACCTGGTATCACTATTCCCATTTCTGTTCCTGAGGGGATTATTTGACCTGGATTCCGTGTGTCATGAGCTCTGATCTGTACTACTACTGTATGTGCTCCAGTCCAGCCAGAACTGAAAGGCAGGACTGGATTCATGATAGTGGGGGGTGAAGACGCCTCAAAGAACCAGAGGAATATTTTGTTTTATTGGTGCTCTGCTGCACCCTGGTTGACGCATCCCTTCCTTGTGGCCTGTCTGTGAGGGGATGGCCCATTGTCTACAGATGGGTTTTGGGTCTCTGCAAGGAAGCATACTTTTATAACATAAAGAAGCATGAAACTAATTGTTTTAGTTTTACTTTTTATTTTTTAAAATTTTAGCCATGTGATAAAGTAAATACTTACTGTTGGGAAGTTCCAGTGCGTTGGGTTTGCTCATATTGTAGCATAGAAAATTATTGACCATGAAAACGCTTTGAACAGAGAGTGACTGAGATTGTGGGGTGCAGTGGAGAGGGATGGGGATAGGACTGGTCTTCTAGGTCACTTTCTGGCTAACATTCAATTCCCTGACTTTGACTTTTTTAGTAATCGCCACTAACAAATCTAGACTTCCTCAACTCATCTCTAGGCCATAAGAAACAATCTCCTCCTGCTTGAAACGTTTGCTGTCCTGTCTTCACATTTAAAGTCAGCTTCACACTCCTGACCATTGCCATCAGGGCAGTATAGGCATTGCATTTACAAACGGGAGGTATGCCGGGGCTCGGGAGCTGGGGGACTGTCTTCTGGTGGCGGCTTGGTTAAGCTCATTTGGGTGTGGACTTTGGGTAACATATTCACTGTCTGCCCCGTGTCCTTGTCTGCAAAGTGAAAAGAAGAGTCCTGACTCTCTGGGACTGGCCCTTATTTCATCCAACACACCTGTGAGTGGCAAAGAGGTGCCAATCTCGGATCTCTGGAGGGAACCTGCCTTGGCCCTGGCGGTGGGAGTGGGCACATGGGCTCAGTGATCGGAAAGTACTTGGCAGTGCCCACAGCTCCATACATCGTGTTTTGAAAATGCTTTTGAGATAGCTCTCCAGTTTGCTAATCTCATGTTTTCTCTCTCCCTCTCACGCACATTTGTCTTCCACTCAGAGATGACAGTCTCTGGGGATCATTTGCCATACGTCTGGATCACATCTCTACTTTTTCAAAAGCCTTCAGTGATTCCATAGCCTGCCTGCCTAAGCTTTCACTTCTCTGTTGTTGTTTGGAGGGTCTATAATCTGACTAGGCCCTGAGCTATTAACTGCAAGGTCAGCAATTCAAACCCAACAGCCACTTTGTGGGAGAAAGAGGAGACTGCTCCCTATTTACAGCCTCAAATCCTCTTCAGCGTCACTGACTTGGAATTGACTTGATGGCAATGGGTGCACCAAGCATTCTCCCAACCAAACTCACTGCCATGGAGAGTTGATTTCAACTCACAGTTACAGAGTAGAACTGCCTCCGGGGGTTCGGAGACTGCCACTCTTCATGGGAGCAGACAGCCTCATCTGTCTCCTTTGGATGGGCTGGTGGCTTCTGCTGCCTTTGTGGTCAGCGGCCCAGCGTATAATCCACCACACTGCCAGGGCTCCTTTCTTCCCATTAGAAAGATAAAATAGTAGTTAAGCATTTCTGAGGATTTACTGTGTAGTAAGTTAATATACTAAGAATTTTACATGTACTTCTTCACCCTTTTAACGGCCTTAGGTGACAGGTCCTTTTTGTGCATGAAATCAAGTGCGGCTCAGGGAAGTTAAATTACATGCACAGCATCATACAGCTGGGCGGGGTCAGAGACTTGATTGATTCCTGCTCCAATCCAATCCGTCTTGTTCCCCACCCCTCTGTCTCCTTCACGCACCGCTGTATTGACTTTTCCCTTCGTTTGTTTTGGTGACTCTGTCCCGAAAGGCCTTTTCACCCGTGCTCTTTCTCTTCCAATCTACTCATAGTTCCGACGCTGCAGGACACACTTCTGAGGCTTCAGGGTAACACAAGTCTTCTCTGAAGGCGGGGACAGTTGCTATGGGTTTCCAATTCTCTGAAGTACTTATTGTTTGGGGGCTGGCAACATTTCATCATTTCACAAGGGCTCTTGATTTCTTTAAAGCATTTTATGGGGATTGAAGAATTTATAATTAAGTTAAAGATTTGTCACTTGACTTTAATTTTAAAGCGAGAAAAATAAAATCTTAGATTCCTAATAGCTAGTGATTATTATTATTATTATTAATCATTTTACTGGGGGCTCTTACAACTCTTAAACAACAGTCCATACATCATTTGTATCGAGCATATTTGTACATATGTTGCCATCATCAAGCTAGTGATTTTTGAGTGGTTGGCATAAACATATTATACAACAGGCTACTTACAAGGCTGAAAGGGGAAATGTGCTAAATGTTTTCTTCTAATGAAAGTCATTTTATTAGGTGTCTGAACTCCGAACAGGAGCTGCAGAAGGACTAGCCAAGCTGATGTTCTCTGGGCTTCTGGTCAGCAGCAGGATTCTGTCTCGTCTGCTCTTGCTGTGGTACAATCCCGTGACTGAAGAGGACGTTCGGCTTCGCCATTGCCTTGGTGTCTTCTTCCCCTTGTTTGCCTACGCCAGCAGGTAGGGTCACATGCAGCAACCCATACCTGACAGGTGTCAAATTCTAGCCGCCCCACCCCCAAGAGTGATGCCTACGGTGTCATTTGTTGGTGTTCTCTGTCTTGCTTAATTGGATAAAAGATGAAATGAAAACTTATGTCGCTTTTAGCCACCTGACTTATCTGGCTGTTCTGTTCGTAGAGGTGTGCTCTGTCTTGGGAGGTTGAAATGTGTGCTAATATGCTCAACCATCATAAGCTTCTTTTCTCCTAATATGATATTCTGCCAACAAACTTTCCATTGTTTTTCCACAGAGCCAATCAGGAATGCTTTGAAGAAGCATTTCTTCCGACAGTGCAGACACTGGCCAATGCCCCTGCATCTTCTCCTTTAGCTGAGATCGATATCACGAATGTCGCCGAGTTGCTTATTGACCTGACGAGACCAAGTGGACTAAACCCTCAGGCCAAGAATTCCCAAGATTATCAGGTGGGTGAGTATGTGGATGGTAAGGATGAAGATCATTTTGGTTTTGATAACCCCTCATAGATTCTTTAAGGAGCCCCGTGTTGGCGCTGTTGGGTAAGCACTGGACTGCTAACCCCACCATCAGTGGTTCAAGCCCACCAGCTGTTCCTTTGGAAATAGATGAGGCTGTAAAGATTCACAACCCTGGAAACCCTCTGTTGGGTTGTTAAGAGTCAGAATTGGCTCCCCAGCAGGTTTATAAAATCTTTGAAAGAGCGAGAAGCTGCATTTTGATTTTGAAGCTTCTCTTTTTTTTGTAGTCCGTGACAGAAAGTAAGGAGAAAACAAATTTGTGTGTCGGGGGGCTGGGGGGGGGAGCGGGGGGTAATCATATGAAAATAGAGCTAATGCTAAGAAAATCATTGAATAGAAATTCATTCCTCTCACTGCCCCTCTCCCCACCCAGTGTTGTTGCTGAGTGGGTTCCGATGCATAGTGGCCCCGTGAGCAACAAGATGCGACACCCGCCGCTGTTCTGAAGTACTCACTGCCCTGTCCCGCTCCAGCCTCAGCCGTGGTCGAGGGTTTGCCGGAGCTGGTGGTTGTGGCCACTATGTCAGTCCATCTCACTGAGAGTCTTCTTCTCTTTCACTGACCTTCACCTTCACCCTGCGTAATGCCCTTCTCCTTTCATCCTCCCTGACGGTGACGTCCAAGTGTGAACGAGACAATGCTCGCTTCTAAGGAGCGTCTGCCGCTACTCTAGACACAGAGGAGTTCGTTTTCTTCACCAGCACCACACTCCAAACGCGACCGTTGTTTGAGGGCTCATTGGGCCTGCCTTAGGTGGCGTCCAGCTTTTACACTCCTGTTCTCGCAGAGCATTGAAATACCATAGCTTGAGTCAAGTGCACCTTAGTCTTCAAGGTGACGTCTTTGCTCTTTAACATTTAGCTCACTCAGAACTCACCTGTCATCTAGTCAGTGCCAGCTCAGTCACCCTCTCGGGTGGAGGAGTTTCTGAGACCGCAGCTGTTGGCTGGAGTAGAAAGCTCCATTTTCCTTGGAGCAGCTGGTGGATCAAACTGCCAACTTGGGAGTATCGCAGCCCCGCTTGTGAGCACTCCGCCACCACAGCTCATTAACGTGGAAAAGGGGCCTTTTGCAGTCGAGCTGCCCAGTGTGGTGCGTTGCTGGAGCACCACTGGCGAGTCAGCATGCCACAGCCACGTCCTGATGTTATGTGGGACTCACTGAACCTTCAAACAGTGACTTAGCTGTTAACTGCCTGTTACAAGGAAGGGGGGGGAGTCAGAGAATGAAAGATGCCCGCAAGCTTATTTTGGTTTTGGGTTGTATTTTGCAAACTGATCCGCAAATTAAACTTGGTCTGGGTTTCAGAACTCTCCGATGTCATTTAATCTGCCTTATTTCCTTTGAAATCAGTGATGATATTGCAAGTCTTGGTCTTCTTCAACTGCTACCCAGTGACTACTTGAAGAGTCCCTGGGTGGTGTCAGTGGTTAAGCACTTAACCGCTCAGCCAAAGGTTGGCAGTTCACACCACCCAATGGAGCCTTGCCTGAAAGACCTGGCAATCTGCGCTCTCTGGAGTGTAGTCTTCCTCTGCACCACAGGGCACCGTCATGGTCAGGACAGTGGACAGCACCGGGTGTGGGTTAGTGTACTCTGGTCAAGTCACTGTGCTAGATCCTATTGGAGAGATTACAGAGACCAACCACTAAGGCAGTCAGGACGTAGTTCAACGATACAGCTATTCAGAGCTTTCTGAGTATTGGCAAGAGCAAGATTGGTATGGTAGGGATGATGACTACAGCGGTAGTGGTTTTAAAGCTTAGGGAGTAAAATTCAGGTAGGTTTTGCAGTGGGATCTGAAGAGTGGTTTGGATAAAGCGGAAAGGCAGTTTTTAGCGACGGTCATGAACTGATGACGGTACAAGTCATGTTAGGGAACTAAGGGGATGGGAGACATCATTTTGACTCAAGCTCTGACCATTAGGGCAAAAAGGTGGGCAAAACTGGAGTGCTTCAAAGACCAAGGAATTGGGATTTGGCCCAATTGCAGTGAGTGCCGGTGCTAGGGTTCACTGGATGAGTGCTGTTAGGAAGGCTCACAGGGATGGTTATGTGAGGTGAGTTGCTGGAGAATGGCAGAGAAAGTGTTAATCAAGGGAGTAGTTCAAATGCTAGTCCAATTTTAAAAATATTAAAAAAATGTAAATGCTAGGTCAGAAACAATTGCTTGAACTAGAGTATTAGAAATTGGGGGGTGGGGGTGGGAGCGAGCGCGCGTGTGTGCGCGTGCGTGCGTGTGTGTGTGTGTGTGTGTGCGCGCGCGCGTGTGTGCGCGTGCGTGCGTGTGTGTGTGTGTGTGTGTGCGTGCGTGCGTGCGTGCATGTGTCTAAGTGTAACTATAAGCCCAGTATGGTGAGCTTTGAGATGTGGCAGAAGTGGAAGAGTCCAGGACAAGGCTACGAGACAAGGCCCCAAACTGCCGACAGGGTCGTTGATTTGGGGTTTGTCTCAGGGTCAGCATCTGTAAGGTCAGAAATGCAGGGAGGTTGGAGCCAAGAGAGACACTTGAACCAACATTCGGACGCCTCAGCTGATTCCTCACGGCAGTGGTTCTCCACCTGTGGGTCATGACCCTTTTGGGGGTGTCTAACAACCCTTTCACAGGGGTCACCTGATTCATAACAGTAACAAAATTAAGTTATGAAGTAGCAACGAAAATAATGTTATGGTTGGGGAGTCACCACAACATGAGGAACTGTATTAAAGGGTTGCGGCATTAGGAAGGTTGAGAACCAGTGCCTTAGGGAGTTCCCAAACTGGAATGGCCCTTGCCAAAGTTCAGGGCTGAGGCGTGTGGCCAGGGCTCAGGTGCCTGTGTATCCACCAGCCACTGGCTCTGGCCTGACCCTGAGGAAGGAAATGTGGCCCAGGGCTGGGATCCCTCATCAGCTGGCTCAGTTCTATCAGCCAGGAATCTCTCACCACCACTCTGGAGAGAAGGCGGGCTTCCTTCCTACACGGGGAGATCTGGGCCCTGAACTGTCCACCTACTCCAAAAAGTCAGGAAGCAAACCCTCTGAGGGATACAGACTTTGATGTTCTGTATTTTGCATTTGGGATTGTGGCCAAGCTAATTAGTTGGGGTGTAAGATGTGTGGGGCTGTCTTTCATCCTCCCACTTTCTATTTACAAAGATGTTTCTCTTGGTGTTGTAGGCCTCAACAGTACATGACAATTTGGCCGTGAAACTTTGTAATGAGATCTTAGCAAGTCCATGTTCACCAGAAATCCGGGTCTATACAAAAGCCTTGAGCTCTCTAGAACTCAGTAGCTGTCTTACGAAAGATCTTCTGGATCTACTCAATGAGATTCTGGAGGTAAAACAGTTTAAAATTATTCTTAATTCGTTTTGAAATCTTTAAGTTGTTCTTTGAAAAAGTTATTCTTAAAGATCTGTCAAATCAGAATCATATTGTAACTGCTCATTTGAAGTGACTATTTCCCCATCTATTTCGTATAAACGTTAGGATGTAACCACACGACTTGTTATCTATAGTATTTTTGAAGGAAGATTAGAAAGTGTTGTATTTAAAATGTTAATCATGGTTTCTATTATAGCAAGTAAAAGACAGGCTGTGTCTGAGGGCTTTGGAGAAAATGAAGATTCAGTTGGAAAAAGGAAATGGAAAACAAGGGGACCAGACTGCGGCAGTGCAGGATGGCAGAACGCCAGCTGTCCTTGAGCGTGAACACGGTAACCACCTACTGACACCTTTCACCTTTCCTGACACACAGCTTTTCTCTGATACATGTGACTGCTTCGGAAATGACTCTTTCTTCTCACTGATTCCCTTGGAAGAGCATCTTGCCAGGATGGTATTCTAACTTCCGAGGTGTGAGCTTGTCTTGTCTATCTATTCCTTGCCTTACAGCCACAAACAAGGATGATCCTTTCAGAAGTGTTTGCTTATTTTCTAGGATCCACATTTCTTCTCAACAAGGATTTAGGATAACTGCTCAGTAGCTGCTAATGGAATTCACATGTCCATTTTATGAATGATATACTTGAAAAGACCATTTAAAATATTTCATGAGATTATCTTTGGTTGACACTGTGTATCATTTCTTTGAACAGAAAAGAATAAGGATTTATACGTGACTCCTCACAGGGCTCAGAAAGCAGTCCGGGCATCAAAATCCACCCAGCAGAGGTCCACCAGAGGTAGGGGATGGTTGACTCCCGGGTGGCCTTGAGCTTTATACTAACACTGCTTTAACACTTGTTTTCCAATAAAATATTCGCTCTGCAAGGGTTTCCCTTGTGGCTGTAGGGATTAAGATTTCTAAATGCCTCAGCTAGCCTGCGCTTGCTTTGTCATTCTCCCCACTGATAGCAGTGCTGCTCCCAAGGGCTTCTGACTGAAAGACTTGTGGTGCGATGCTGTAGGCTGTTTGATTGGATCAAGCGATGGCTTTATCTGATCAGTAGTGTAAGCATCTAGGTCCCCTTTTCCCAGCCCAATATTTTTTTGGGGCTAGGGTCTTCCTTGTTTTCTCTTATTTCATAACTCTTATTCCTTAACTTTTCAACTTCACAAGGAATACTCAGCAACAGGAGATTTGTTGGGATACATTAAATGTTGAATATTAGGAAATCACTTGGAAAAACATCTGAAATTCAAAATCTTTTTATTGTTTTATTTTCTTATTACAAAAGCAATGCATGCTTATTACAGAAGAGTCAGAAAATACATCCAAGCAAAGTACTATAAAGAACACTAGTAATTCCACTCGTCAGCCGGCCACTGTGTTCGCCCTTGAAAAAATATTTTTTGAGTCTTTTTTTACACAGATTAATTTGTTCCTAAAATGGAATCTGGCCATAATACTGCTTTATCATCAATCCATTATTTGAACATCAATTGCTCGAGATTGTTGCAAATTGGTCCCCTATTGTTGGATGTTTTTTTGGGGGATACGTGAATTAGAAATTTAAAAGGAACGAAATAGCAATGATGAAACATACAACTTTCCTCTAGTTCCTAAATGCTTCCTCCTCCCCCACTATCATGATCCCAATTCTACCTTACAAATCTG